AATCTTGGCAATAATAACATAGCTTCTATTTTAAGTATAGTTTCCGTGTTTAGGGAATTTGCTGGATAATAACAAGTTCATGTTTAATTATATAAATACTAATGATTTTTACTAACTTTTGATATTTTAATATTGGTTAAGTTCTTACAGTGTGCCAGACTCTATCCTCAGCCCTCTTGAATTCATAATCACACTCAGTCCTCCCAGGAGCTTCATTTTAAAATCCTGTCATTTCTCCCTATTTTATATTGGAAAGTGGTTGTGTACATATGCTATGTAAGAGCCTGAATTTAAGCTCAGGCACTTTGGTCCTACATTTTAACCACCTGGGTAGTGTGGTTTGTAATCTGTATGCACACTAGAATCATGAGTGGTACTTAAAACAAAAATAAAACACAGAGATGCCCAGAATTCTCAATTAAATCATAATTCCTGGAGGAGTTCTCTTGACATTCTTTTATTTTTATTATTTTTAAAAATATTTTTTATTTATTTTAGAGAGAGGAAGTGGAGAGAGAAACAGTGATCTGCCTTCTGCAGGCCCCCACTGGGGACTGAGCTGCATCCCAGGCATGCGGGAACCAGTGACCTTTCGGTGCATGGGATGTTGCTCAGCCAACTGAGCCACACCAGCCAGGGCATCATTCGTTTTATTTCAAAAGTTCCTCCCAGTGATCCCAGAGAGAGGACAGGCTTCCTATGGGCTGAGCTTGACTATATTATCACCTCAGCATAGACTGAAAAGTCATAAACATCTGTATTCCGCCCCAAATCAGAAGATTAAAAAAAGCCTGCTAAATACTAAAATAACAATTTCATTCTCACAAAGAGAAACTATGGCCTTCATCTTCTTAAAAAACTGACAGGGTTAACAGAAGCAAAATCAAAGAAAGTAGAGGTAAAAAGGAAAAGGTGACAGGAGTATCAAGATAAGAAGAGAACAGTTGAATCGGGGCTGTTGAAGTAATAAGACACTATCTCCTGATGAGTGGTCTGTAATATCAAAGGCACGCTTGCCGAATGTTTCCTTTCCAGTGATTGTACCGACTCCCCTGCCATTAGAGATCGCTTTTCTTCTTGGTAGATTGAAGAGCGCTTTATTCACTAAATGCATCCCAACAATATTCCGAGCTTAGGTCCAACATAATCATAAGTTGCCTTGTTATTGTGGAGGCAGCAGCCCCATTTAATAACATATTAAATGCATTATTCATTTATGCAACTCAGACCCAGGGACAGCTGCTGGTATGAAAATAGGAGCATTCTGTATTGCAGAAAGCAGGTGTGTGCTTACTCGAGTAAATTAACTGTGTATTTATGCACAATTTTCTTCTAAATTTCCAGGACAGGTCTGGGAGGGCTAATGCGATTCCATTTTCATCCAGGAAATGAAATCGTTTCAGAATGGTTTTTAATGAGCGTTTAAAAAAATTACCAAGTCTTCTCTGTGGGAGAATCCCGGGGGGGCGGGGGGGGGGGAGTGATCCATGCTTTGGGTTTAAGCAGAATTCCTGTTGTTACAGGATTTAGGAAAGCCTAAGGCAATGATGGGGCAGAGCCCAGACAAACAAAAGGAATGATCCCTAGATGATGATGACAGTGGCCATGGTGAGCCCATGCCTCTATAGCTACTCGCCAAGACAGTCACAGGTGTGCTTGGATGCTAAGTGATTAAAAATTGTAATCTGCCTTTCATGTGTCCAGCAGCACCTCACCTCAGAAGCATAGGGCGTTTCCAATGCACAGTTAAATTCAGTAGGATGCCATAATCGTGACTTTGACAGTTATTTGTTGCTACCATTGCTGGTACCAGAATGCTCCAGTATCCAAGGAGTAGAGATCTCGGTGAAGGAGCAGGGATTTGAGGCTGCGACTTGGGCTAGGTGTGAACCCTTCAGTTGCTGAATTGTAAGGAGAAGCAGGGATTCTAAAGAGAGGGATCTGCACAGATGAGTTGGTGGGTGAGGTGCCTGAAGGGCTATTTTTCAATATTTAAAATGGAACCACATCCTAGTGTGGTCTTCCTGATGATCAGGCTTGTATATCCAGGGCACAATGATTCCCTCAAGGAGCTTGAAGTTCACAGTCAGACACAGGAAGACATATGTAATTTCTATCAAGTCAATCAGAAGGATTCCTTAAAGGGTTTAGAGGAGGGATGACTTTGCTCCATTTAAACAATCAGTACAGTGCAGCAATAAAAAGCAGAGACAAACTGTCTGGAGTCCTGGCTGTGTCAACTTGAGAAAACGAGTTAACTTCTTTGAATCTTAACTTCTTCATCCATATATCAGGAGTAAGAATACCTTCCTTATTAGGGATATTTTGAAGAGGAGTATGAAAAGTCTTGTGAAGGCTGAAACCGGTTTGGCTCAGTGGTAAAGCGTCGGTCTGTGGACTGAAAGGTCCCGGGTTCAATTCGGTCAAGGGCATGTTGGTTTCGGGCACATCCCCGGTAGGGGGTGTGCAAGAGGCAGCTGGTCGATGTTTCTCTCTCATCGACATTTCTAGCTCTCTATCTCTCTCCCTTCCTCTCTGTAAAAAATCAATAAAATATATATTTTTTTAAAAAGAAAAGTTTTGTGAAGAATTTAGCCATATGACTAAATTACAATGCACTAAGAACTTTCTAAATATGAACTTTGTGCTGGCTGGTGTGGCTCAGTTCTTGGGTCTTGTCCCATGCACTGAAAGGTTGCCTGTTTGATTCCAGGGTAGGGCACATGCCCAGGTTTCGGACTCCATCACCAGTAGTGTATATGCAGGAGGCAGCTGACCAATGTTCTGCTCTCACGTTGATATTTCTCTCATGCACTTCCTCTCCCTCTGTTTCTTAAAATCAGTAATTAAATAAAAATAAAAAATAAAAGAACTTCTGACTGGTGAGCATGGCTCATCAGTTGATAGTCCATCTATGAACTAGGAGGTCATAGATCAATTCCTGCTTGGGACACATGCCCCTATTGCAGGCTAGAGTCCTAGTGTGGGGTGTGCAGGAGACAGCCAATCAGTGATTCTCTCGTATCATTGATGTTTCTATCTCTATCTCCCTTTCCCTTTCTCTCTGAAGTCAATAAAAATATATTTTAAAGAAATATGAACTTCTTACATCTTACTATTTTAATAGCATAATAGGAAAAAACAGGTGATAAGCTGTGACTGGATTCATGATAGTGATGGAGCATACAGGAGGGCATATAAGCAGAAGGAGCAGAAGAAAATAAATTCTTTCAATTGGATTGAAAAGAGAGTGTGGCTGGAGCAGAGTGAGCTATAGGGGAGAAAGTATCCAGAAAATTAGAATGAATTTAGCTTGTGGAGGGCTTCTGGTAGAAGTTTATGGCATTTGTGACTTATCCTAAGGACATTTGGAAGACATGAAGGTGGTAGACAGGTCAAATAATAATAATATTAAATACAAATAATTGGTAACATTATTATTATTAAATGAAAATAACATTTCACGAGCACTTGCTAATTGTCAGGGTGGTTATAAGTACTCTGTGTACATTAATCCATTTAATCCATACAACTACCTTACAAGGTAAGTTAAAGATTAATAATTGACCTTGTAGTGACCCATAGTGGTCAGAGTACTTTCTCAGACAATATTTAATTTGACTTTCTCAACTATCAGTTTAGGTAGTCAATTCTGAGTCTGGGAAATCAAGGAAAGGACTTTGGCTAGCTCTGAAGGGGTTGGAAAACAATAGCCTGCAAGCCAAATTCAGCACACAGCCAGTTTTTATAAATAAAGGTGTGTTTTTTGTGTGTTCATTTTTAACTCAAAAATATTTTTGTGAAGAATTTAGCCCTATGTCTAAACTACAATGCAATAAGAACTTTCTAAATATGAACTTTGTGCTGCATTCATTCCTTGTTCACTTTCATGCTACAACCAAAGAGTTGAACGCTTGTCACCACGACCCTATAACCCGCAATGCTAAAGCATTTACTCTCTGGCCCTTCATAACTGGTCTTGAAGAGTGGAAGATCTGGGGCTTTGCTTCCAGTTTGAGCTCTACCACTAATTATAGACACTAGTCTTTGGTAATCAAATACAGGGTGTTCCCCAAAATGTATACACACTTTGAATAATTATTAATTCCAGTTGGTTACATTTGAAAAGAAAAAAGCATCAATTGAGCTATCAAAAAAATGTATGTGTATACATTGGGGGGGGGAGGGCATCCTATATATGAATACATAAAATGGTTACTATGGCCACCACACAAAAAAAGATGATGAATAGGTAACACTGAACCTGCAAAGCTTTAAAGGTTAATCATCCTAAAACCACAGATTCAATTATGACTTTGATCAATTGTATAGGGTAAACTTATAGCATGATTTATTGTATTAAAACTAAAACAAGAAAAAATAAGCAAAAGTGTAGGAAGGATTGACTCAATCTGCCAATCTGCGGAGTGAAATCTCCTTCATATGAAGTTTCAATGATTTAGCCAGTATAAACCCACATGAAATATTGAGTAAAAATGATCAGATTTAGCCAACTTTCTGAACTATGCCATTACTATAGCATGCTCTGTGAGATCTAATGTTAAACCATGTCATCCATAACAATCTATTCTTTCTCCGAATTGAAAATCCCCTAGTGATACATATTACTCATTCTAACCCTTAATTATATAACCCTCAGAGTATCTCCTAGATTATTCACACATCTCTTCAACTAGATTATAAACTTAGTGAAGGCAAGGACCACATCTTCTACTGCTATGCATTTCCCACAGCTCCAAAGTGAAATGATTTATTGATTGACTAAATGAATGAAAGAAGCATCTGAAAGTGCTAGTAATAGGTCCAATATGCTGCTAGGATCATCTGTCTTCCTGCTGGGTGCTTTCTAATCCTCAGAGCAACATGAGCTGTAGTTAGTGATGGCCCTCAGGGCTAGGCAGCAGGTTCAGTTTAAAACATTGGGAGCGTGATCTGAATTATAATGAGCTGGATTATGACTTGAGCTCTTCTCCATGTAGGTATAGGAAGGTGGTTTCCAATAACTGCACAGATGGCGTGAGAGAACAGTACACAGCCAAACCACAGAAGTGTCCAGGGAAGGCCCCACGGGGTCTCCGGATTGTCACGGCGGATGGAAAGTTGACAGCAGAGCAAGGGCACAATGTCACGCTCATGGTGCAATTGGAAGAGGTAGGACTGATTCCCATCTCACCTCTGCCTTCCAGAGCCAGCGATTTCCCCCCGAGAAATCATGGTTTAGTTTATATACATCTTTTTGGGTTTTATTTACATATATTAACGTTATTATTTAAATATTGTCTTCTGCTTTTGGTTATTGTCTCTGTTATAATTGTATCTTCTCTGAGACATTTTGCAGTGATTTTCATTGCAGTGTTTCCCTCAAGAACTTTGCCAGTTCATACACCACGCTGTGTAAGAGGTCACATTTTAGATTCCCCATGGAAGGCCAAACAGAAAGTGTTGGCTCAACAGCTCTTATGGACTCACAGGAATGGGACAATTGCAGTTGGTTTCGGGGCCAACCAAGGCAGCTGGGACTGACAAGGTCACCTTCCAGAGGGAAGGAAAGCACAGAGAAGCAGCATGATGTTATGTGCTTCTTTCCCTCCTTGGGTTATTGGACAATATCTAAGTGATACGGGCAAAATAGCAAGTAGTCTCGAAGGATTAGAAGGTAGGCTTAGATTTCTGTTTTCCTTCTAAGAACACAGTAGAACCAGATCTGAAACAAGAACTCACTCCTGGTCAGCTCCAGCCTTTGTACAAATGGAGTGCACCCTTCAGGGGCAGAGGCCAGGCTTTTATCTGCACAGCTTTGCTTTCCTTGTAAGATCATTGGGCACCTCAAACTTGGCTGAGTGATGTGGGAACAGATTGAGGAATCTGGTTCTAAGATATGCAAATGCATGCCTTCTGAGCACAAGAAAGAGAAAAAAATAAGTCAGGTCATTCCAGTTGAGTGGGTACAGATACAACAGCAGGGAGGAAATCTGCTGCCTTTGCTGTCAGACTCGGCCCCTTGATGCTCTTATCACTGGTGCAGAATACCAAGCCCAGAGGCCTGTGCCCACATCAGGAGGCCCTAGGGGCCTCATGTCTGACCATAGGATTCTGTGCTAATGACTCACCAGCTCCTCTTGCAGAAACAACTTCAGTTTCTCTATAGATCTCTAGATTATTTTTAAATGTATCTTTATTGTTGAATTGTTGAAAGTCAGTATTCTAATTGATCCCCTCCACCTGGCTCCTGCTGCCCTCCCAGGCTTCACCTCACTATCGTCTGTGTCCATGGATTATGCATATAGGTATCTGGATAGCACTGAAATATGGTACCATGACAATTCAGATAGGCCACATTTATTGAGCACTGACAGTGATCTGGTTTGTGCATGCTTTCACCCATTGTCTCATTTCAATCTCACAGCAGCTCTGTATGAGTAGAGATTGTCATCATTGTCATTTTATAGATGACCCAGCTGAGGCACAGAAAGGCAAAGTAACTTGCCTAATACCACAAAGTTACTGAATTGTAAAGCTGGGAGTCAAATCCAGGCTTTGCCTATCAATTGTGTTTCTCTTGTGGAAAGAACCATTTTCTGTGAAAGAACTTTAGGTGGTTGGTAAGGCTCCCTAGAAACGCTTGGCTGGGGACAGGGAGTGACAGATATTAAGGAATAGAACATATAGATAGAATGATCAGTGTCCTGCCCTAACTGCTTTGGCTCAATGGATAGAGCATCGGCCTGCAGACTGAAGGGTCCCAGGTTTGATTCCGGTCAAGGGCATGTACCTTGGTTGTGGGCACATCCCCAGTAGGAGGTGTGCAGGAGGCAGCTGATCAATGTTTCTCTGTCATCAATGTTTCTAACTCTCTATCCCTCTCTCTTCCTTACTGTAAAAAATCAATTAAAAAAAAATCAGTGTCCTAGCCAGGCTGGTCTATGACTTCTCCTATATTCTTAGACACTAGTCCATAGCTAAACTAAGATTTCCCTCTAATTGTCTAAAACTGTTCATGCTTGGTATCAGTTTTTTAAAAACTATCTTAATCAAAAGAGAAGCCAAATTCTTTTTTGGGTTTCTGTCTCTCTACAAGACCATGCCTTCATTGAATGGCTACTGTGTATCTGGTACTGTTTGATCTATTTCAAAGATATCAGAAAGCATGGATTATGAAGGCAGCACTCAAGGAATTTACCATCCAAACTTAATCATGCTGTAATATTTTTAATATTTAATCTAGAAGAAAAAAATAACCACAAATCCCTGACATATGTCACTGGCAATACATGGAGTTTCCATGTCCTCAAAATCTCTAAGAGTTGGTTTCTCATTTGATTTTGATATTCCTCAGTTTACTTTGAATATGATGTCTTATATATGCCCTCTACCTCGTGACTATTCTTCAATTATTATAAATAATTGCTAAGGTAAGGGCCATGCTTCTGATGCCCTAAAGCAGAAAGTCCTCCAATGCCAGAGGGACCAAGAGGCCTCAGCTATGACACTACAGTGTGATTAATCCAGACGTGGGCAGAAGGCTCACCTCTCCACGTCGGTATACTATTCTGTCACTTTGGCACCAATGATTATGCCTGTGTCTCATAGTTTCTCTTTCTCCTACAAGCCTTGCATCTGTCCATAGGGCTACGCTGGGCTAGAGGCTGTTGCCACCCTCCTTTCTTTGCCCCCAGTGACTTGCATACAAACCCCTCCATGTAGGTTCCATCTTGTGTGCATACCAAAGCATTAGAGACCCGAGGAATCACCTGTCCCACCAAGTAGGTAGCCGTGTGTGTGTGTGTGTGTGTGTGTGTGTATGTGTGTGTGTGTGTGTGTGTTTATTTGTGCTTTAACAAATATTTCATTAAGTTTTCATTTCAAACCATGTACTTTTCATTAATGTGTATACATAGTTTAGTTTGTGGAAATCATATTTTAGATTAACTGAGACTTCTGCTATATCAAGTTTTAAATAAAAAAAAAATCACCACATGAAATAGAACATGAACATTTCCTGTCCATTTAAAACAAAATGAAAAACAAGTTCTATATTATATTGTAACAATATCTTAACACCCCCAATAAATTATAAATAATTGCTAAGGTAAGGGCCATGCCAGTCCTGGTTGCAGTTTTAGTGTGTCCACACACAGTGCCCTAGATATTGATGGAACTCAATGTGTGGGGGTTTGGATAGGCTTCCAGAGTTGTCACAAAGCCCAAACTTTAAAGGGGAAAAAACAAACAATATTTACAATTTGAATAACATCCAAAAAATATTAAAGTCTTTCTTTATTCTGTACTATTCTATGTCCTAATTCTAACAAGAATATCAATGAAAACCTTGCTAAAACCAGAACCAAGAGAAAAGCTTCTTATTGACCGGAGATAATCAAAGGCTAAGCACACAGATGCTAGCATGTACTTCCAAGAACAAAAAGATGTACCAGGTCAGAATGTTGCAGATTTTGACATGTGCCAGAAGCAGAACCCCTTCCTGCCAATAGCATGTGAGGCCACCCGCCACATCTAAGTAACTCCATAACCCAATGCCTTCACATCCCACAGCTTGGCTTACCTGGTGTATTACTCCCAGAACCACATAACTATTGAAGTTGATAAAAAGGTCCCTTGCCAGGAACCCCATCCCTGCTTCGTTCATGCTTCTCTCCAATATATTCTAATGACAGAACCTTCATTAGAAGTTATAGGGTAAAGGAATCAGTCTTGGTTCCATTAGAGACTCAAGAGGAAAACACACACACATACATCACCACTACCACCACCACAGTTGATCAAGGGAGCAACCTAGAGAGAGGAGAAGGAGGAGTCCCATAAAATTGTATCAAAGAAGCTATTTTTCCATTTACACCTGAATTTCAGAAGCTGATCAAAAGTGTTTTCTGAGACTCAGGCATTCGGTGAGGGGTGGATCACTCCGTCTGGAGACTTGCTGAAGATGGATGTCCTCTGGACCACTAACGAGCACCTAATGAGCCTATAGACGTTCAAGGCAATCACTCTGGCTTCCCAGGGAAATCCAATGTAAGACCCTGAAGGCACAGGATGGATGGTGAAGGGCCTAATTATTCTTAAGAACTCAGCAAAACCGATTTGGAATGCATTCATTTGAGAGGACTGCTAGGCAGAAGTAGTCTCTGCGTGTTAGGGAAGATAATTAAATACGTTTTAAACAGCCATAAGAATAAAGAGATGCAATTCGCTGCATAATTTAAGACTTTTAAATTAAATCTGAGGCGAGAGACTAAAATGAAGACTTTGATCAGTATCTCATTGTTTTAATACTTTCATTTACATACAAAGGCTGAAACTTAATAAGGCGAATTCATGAGTATTGCTTCTGTGAGATTTAACTTCAAGACGTGAGGTTGTGTCCTCGTTAGATGGATTTCAATGATCGGTCGCTCCACATCCGGTGACAGATGTATGGCAGCATGGGAGTGACCATAATGTAATAACACTTCATAAATATTGCAGGGTGCTGCCAGCCCTCCGATGGTAGGGAAGATGACTCCCGCTGACATTTTCTGTGAGAAGCTCTTTGGTTGAAACCCTGAAAGACTGTGACCTACTTTTTCATCTGAAGAAGAATTGGGGCTGTTAGAGGTAGCATAAAGAGGGAGCAGGCAATGTGATGTCTAGGCAGGTGTCAGTGTCTAAGCCAGCCCAGATCTGAGTGAGAAACCTCAGCTCTTTTCTCCTTGCACACAAAGGAGCAAGAGCTGATTTCAATGAGCCATGGGGATTCAGAGGCTTTCTCATGTATTATTCCTTACTCCATTCAGCTTTCTTCTCTTTGACTCTAGAAAGGTAATTGAGCCTCTTCATTTTTTCTTTCTTCTCGCTGCCATTTACAAAAGGAAGGAAGGAAATGAGACAGGCAATGTAGGTTGTCTTTAGCCAGAGGCCTAGTGTCTCAAGTTCTGGTTGGATTGGTACAAAATCTTTCTAAGACTCTACTTTCCTCCTCCCTTAATACTGGCCCACAGCCATTGGTGCATTGCTATTCTTTAGGGTTTCAGGGACTAGATGTTTACAAAGAACTTCAACCTGCCTTGACAAGCAAAGAGAAAACCTGTCTCATTACTGGGAGTTTCAGTGACAGCATAAAATAAAACAGTACAATGATCCCAGTGTTACTGTGG